CTCCCCCCACAGTCCCCTTGCTCTTCTCGTGCCACTCACTCCCCCCACAACAGCTCCCTAGCCCTATTGGTGCCCCTCACTCCCTCTACGGTCCCCCTGGCCCTGCTTGTACCCGTCACTCCCCGCAAAACATCCCCCCCAGCCCTACTGGTGCCCCTCATTCCCTCCCACACAATATACAATTAAGACTGTATTTTGCAGCTATTATGCAATCACTTCCACATGTACGGCACAAATGCAGACAAATCAGGACAAAAACATATTTTTTAATTAAATTAAAATATATTATTATGGATGTTTGATTTTTAGTATATAATTTGGGGTTTTTTTTCCCCTAAGATGGCAAACCCTCTTCCCCAAAGGAATACTTCCAGGTGCAAGGGGTGGGACTTCTGGTTGGAAAGGTCAGAAGGTAGGGGCAGGACTTCCGGTCCCAAGATGGTCACAGAGGGGCATGACACCTGTCAAGGGGCAGGACTACCCATGTGGCGCTCAGCAGCTTGCCAAAACTTGGTAAGCAGTCCTCCACCCAAAATAATTGCCTCCCGCACGCGCACACACCACGTAGGCATGCAGCATCTATGTAAATAAGTATTTACAAGTAAAAAACCGTATTTGAGTATGGATTATCAGAGCTAAAAACTGAACATGCTGTCCAAACTATCATGCGCGGGGGAGGTGGCAGTTGTGTGCAGCTGGATGTGGAGTGGTGGATGGCGGTGGCAGCTGCCACATGCAAGACTCCTTGCTCCCCCACTCCTGGGAGGCAGTGGTGGTGCAGGGTGGTGGGTGACAATGCTCCACCCTCCTCCTCCCTTCCCCCTCGGTCATTCTTGATGGGAAATACAAATTTATATATATTTGTATATATGTAAAATTTATGGACGCCTATACACACGTAGGGAGGCTGCTCTGATGCTCTGCAATTACGGTGCATTGGAGCAGACTCAATTAACTGAGTCTGTTGGAACATGGTAATTACCTGCACTGAAAAAATGGCAACACAAGCCCTTTAACTAAAGCTCATTTGATGAGCTTTAGTTAAAGTGCCCCTGCCACCATTTTTCAGCAAAGGACTGCTGAAACACATGACACTGAGAGCTTTAATTAGAGCAGCTCAATCTAATTAAAACACCACTCACCCACATACACACACTCTCCTGGAGCACATGTATAAATGTCCTATATGCCTGTGTCAGAGGTTGTCAACTCTTTTTGGACTTGAAGCACCCCTCGCTGGACTCAATGCCCCCTTCCATAATTTTTGTGAATTAAGTGGCACTTAATTTCAAAAACCAGTTTATATATTACAGTGCTTCCCTCCCTTGCAGAGGGGTTGGGCATTGGGGTGGGGGTGGGGCATTAGCTAGGCAGGGACAAGCCTGAGCCTGCACTTATCTGCTTATCTCTTAACACTTTGCTTATCTCTCCACACCTCTTGGCACCCTTCAAGGTCTGGCAGCCTGCCAGGATGCCACAGCACCTTGGTTGAGAATCACTAAGATATGTACTCAGGGCCTCAGATGCAAACAGCTGAACAATGTATGTTTTGCATTTGTGCTTTGAAACTTACTTAAGATGTGCAAGCACTGGAGTAATGGTTCCATAGTTGTAGTTGATTCAGGGCATGCCTATTTTATTTATGTGGAGATCCTGAGACAGCTACCAAGAGCCAAATCTGACCTGCGTGATCTTGCACTGCATATGCCGCATATTGCAAAACATGGTGAGGTTCCCTGTGGAGCAATGCCACGTGTCATTCTTAAGAGTGCACCTGAGATTGAGCCACTGAGTGTGGCCTTGGACACACTTCAAAATCCAACCACAAAATATTTTTTCAGCAAGTAGGAGCAGCTTGTTTCTTAGGGGGGGTCTTGGGATTGCTGTGGAGACAGTTGAGACATGCCCTTGATTATTGTGGCCCTGTAAGAAACAAAAAGGTTAAAACAATGGTTCTCAACCTTTACAGACAGAAGGCACCCTTCATTAGACTCCAGACAACCCTCATCAGACCCAAAGCACCAGGGTTGCCAATCCAGGACAATTTTACTGATGATCTGCAAACTTTATACTGACAACCAACCTTTTTTCTCCATATATTTTACATAATGTAAATGTAACCCTTCTGCCAGGCTGTAGCTGAGGGTTGGGTTCAAATTTAGGGATCTAACACCAACCATAGTTTTAAAAAAAGTTTGGTGATCAGTAAAAATGTTGTAGTTTATCTTTAAAAAAAATAAATGTCTTGGCTTGGCCAACCCTGCTTGACTGCAGCTACAATTTTACACCATGCTGCCCCCACCCCAAGGGTTCCCTATTCACCCCCACACCCTGATGCACCTGACTGCACCTCCCAACATGCTTCCTGCCCAGCCTTACCCCCAACCCCTCTGTCCCAGCACAGACAAGCAAAGAATTACTGTCTGCCTACCTGGGACCCAGCAATGTGACAGGGAGGTGATGAGATGCTGCAGCAGCACATGGCTGGGGTGGGGGAGTTGTGTAAACTCCCATGAGCTACAAAGCAGGAGGCATGAGATTTTTTGGATCAGCTGCATGATTGGGATAGACTTTGAAAAGCTTTTCAGTGCAGCCAGCTCTTCAGGGGAATGCATTAATCATTCCACAAAAATCCTTTCCTCCACACAATTGTTGAGCTTTGTTATAAATTAGATTGAAAGTTCTTTGAGGCAGGGATCTTGCTTTCTGTATGTTTGCACAGTGAACATAGTAAGGCCCTCACTCCTGATAAGAGAGTTAAATATTAATAACAGTAAAGTACCTTTAGGAATCCATGGCTGGGGAAGGCCCAGAATCTTAGTGCTACTTTAACTTTGATGTTTCTTATCTGCGGGCTTATGTTTGCAATCTTAGCCTACTTTTTGTGCAACTCTGTGCCTACGGACATTCAGTTTCTTCTGGGAGAGTTGTTGCTCTCGTAGAAGAAACCATTGGTGAAAGAGTGTACAGATGTTCAGATGTTTTGTCCCCGAGTGGAAATGGCTGCTCCAAGGAAAAAAAAAAAACCTGGTAAAAACCAGTGGGTATATGACTCCAGCAGGAATCAGAATATGCTCCCTTCACAATCCCTACATTGTGCTGCAAGGAAACAGTCTGCATTAGCCAATTAGGGCTGCCGTATGCGCTGCTGCCACCTGTTGCCAGGCAGGCTAAGGGAGCCTGGAGAGCACACTGAGATGTGTGAACAGACAGCTGGATGGTGTCAGCAGTACAAGCTCTCCACTCCTCAGGATCTCAGCATTTGAATGTCTGTATACATGGCTCTGGGTAAATTTTTGTACTGGCAGAATACACCTGGGAGAACTCTCCTAGATTATTTGAATGTGTCGTATGCAGCCTGTGTCTACACACAAAACTAGTCTTGCCCTACAACTCAGAATATTATTCCTAGTCCTTTGTCCAGCGGACTATTAAACATTTCAAACAGTGTTGCATTTCTAGGCAAAGTATCACCATGTCTACATGGTTTGTTTATTGTGGCACCAGAATCCAGGAGAGACTTGTGGGATAAAATAAGCAATCAAATATGCAGGAAAATTTCCACTTCAAACTAGTTCCTCCATCCACCCCCCACATTTTTTCTTTTGAAGCCAGGGTGCTAGTTTTGTGGAAAAATGAGCTGTTAATTTCCCCTGTGGTATAATTGCTGTGTTCAAGCAGGCCATGTATTCTTTGTTTCTTATGTATTATTCCAAGGTAAACCCTATAATCTCTTACCCAGCAATACCACTTGGCTTGTGCAAGCCTTTTTTCCCTTCCTCTTTTCCCCTTCTCCTAAAACCATTCGGAGGTCAGTTCTGTGTTTGTCTGGCATGTTATGAGAACAGTGCAGCTTTTTGCAAATGTGTGGTTTTTGAGCAAGCTGTAGTTTGGGCATATTTTCTAGCAGTTTTCTTTCTTAACATTACTCACTCTGTGGCAGTTTTATTTAATTGTAGTTTGGAAAGTATTAATAAATTATTTACATTTTCAATTACTTTGTCCTCTTAATGTGATGAAGTCATCCTGGGATACTTATGCATAAATCATTTAATCAGTTTTGGGACTTTTTTTAATCCATTGAAGATACCACCAGTTCTTTGTGCATGATGATTTTGGTCCAAAGCATTAAGTGAACTTCCTCCTGAAGAAACCAGTTTCTCTGCCTGTAATACTGTTGCAGTCAATGGATTATATAAAACAAAATGAAACTAATAATCATAATTGCAATGCAGCATCAGGTTTAATCATTCATTCCACAATAAATACGTTAGCAAAGATTGGCAAACGGGGTGAGGGTTGAATCAATATCCCCAGTCTCCCCAAACTCACACAGGGAAAGCTTTGTAGTAACCACAAGCCAAAACAGGATTACCTGTTCTTGCCAGAAATCACTGTTTTGTTGTGTTTTGTTTTTTTTCTGGAGATGGAGGGAATGAACTAGCTTATCACTTAAACATCAGTAGAAAAAGAAAACGTTGCATTTTTTATAGGTTCGGGAACTGCAAACACGATTACAGAGTGTTCAAGCAACAGGGCCATCCAGCCCAGGACGCCTTACTTCTACAAACCGACCCGTTAACCCCAGTACAGGGGAGCTGAGCACAAGCAGCAGCAGCAATGACATTCCGATTGCCAAGGTGAGCTACTGTGTGCTGCAGTAATGCCTCTCGTTATCTGCAAGAAGCAGACTTCATTGTGCACAGCTGCTGTGCAGGCATGCGATTAACTGGGAGGTAGCATCTGGAGTCCCAGGGGAGTTTTCAAGGGTCCTAAGCAGGTCCATGAACTTGAGCTGCAGAAAGAGATAACACACTAATAATTTTAAGTCTCAGTCACAACACAGATGCCAACTTACGTTTATCAATTTCAGATTTTGAAATGTGGTCAGTGTGTGAGCAATGATGTATTTTGCGCAGCTGTGCAGAACATGGGATTCCTGTCTGTAACTTATATGGTATTGTGACTTCCAGATTGCTGAACGAGTGAAGTTGTCAAAGACAAGATCCGAATCTTCTTCATCTGACCGACCAGTCCTAGGATCAGAAATCAGCAGTATAGGCGTGAGTGTTGCAAATAAGTGCACAAGAAGTTCATCCTAGCTCTAGTAATAGTAGTGAGCACCTGTGGGTGACTTTTGTTCTATTAAAAAGGAGAACAAATATTTAATTAATTTAAATATGATTTAATTAAAAATATTTGAAATCTTATTTTCTGAAAAGTATTTAACAGGTGAAGAGGAATAATTAACACCCACTTCTCATACCCTACTGTCATTTTGAAGTCCATACAGTTGCCAAGGACCATGTTCTTCAAACCATTCCTCCTATGAGTTAATTCCCTTAACTTCAAGGGGATGATGATTGTGAATGAAGATTACCCACATGAGTGAGGGTGGTTCACTTGCACCCCAAGTTAGTCTGACATCTCTAAAAGAACAATAGACCAAAGTATAGCCATATACATACACCAGTGAATATCCAAAATGTCATTTGGCACTCTAGGTTTAAAAGTGGGTCATTAATGATAGAGATTAACCCTGCTCAGATATTTTGAAGGTATAGAACTTAAGAAGTCTTCTTAAATCTGTTGGTAAAAGGTTGCATATTCATCTCCAACAACATGGGCTTTTAAATTAACCATTACTACTACATATTGCCCATCATCCCTGCTGGTGTGGAAGTGGGCTTTATCATGTTTTGAGTGGTGCCCCATTCCTAGTTGACTCTTCTGACCTAATTGCCTCTGAGTAGACACATTTAGTGGTTCAGCATACTTAGGGACTGAATTTTATGCTCATCCATTGACAGAAGGTTTACTAATCACCCTGTGCAGGTGTCTAGCAGTGTGGCTGAACACTTGGCCCATTCTCTTCAAGACTGCTCCAACATCCAAGAAATCTTCCAGACACTCTATTCACATGGATCTGCTATCTCTGAAAGTAAAATCCGAGAGTTTGAAGTGGAAACTGAGAGGTTAAATAGGTAAGATGTGAGGTCAGAGGATATGAAGTATTTTGTCTACAGTTAGTTTTGTTAAATTAGTGTTTTTTCTTCATTGTCTGCCCCATAACTTAGAATTTTGCTGGGGCCAAGTTCAACTACAGTAGCTTCAAATAAGTGTGAAACTTGGATGATGATCAGGAGATTATAATGTGAATTAATAGTTCTTTCTACCAATACGATAATGTGGTTATCCATGCTAAGGCATATAGTAGATTTGAATCTTTGGGTGTGGACAGATGAAACAATTGTGTCCATTTAAAGGGGGTGGGGCAGGGAAAGGGAGCAGACCTACTGATCATCCTGCTGTTCCACTGCAACTATTTACTGTTTCCACTTAGTAAGGGAAAGCTAACCTATAGTAATATAACAGCTGTTTCATTTCAGGTATATTGCCCCAGTTTACCTTCTGCTTATTATGGAATTGATCAGGCTGTCATTACACCTTGGGACATAGAAGTGGACCAGTAAATATGGCTTATATCCTAAAGGATAAAAATGTTAGGGCTTGAGTGACCAGTTTGCCATTCTGAAAACAGTGTATTTTTCAAAGTAAATCGCATCAGTGGGCATCCTGATCTTAGCTGTAGTGAAAGATACGGTGCGTTCTTCTCCTGTCACTACTTGTGCAGGATAGTTCTTCCGTAATCAAGGATATTCATGTCTTATTTAGCATATTATATCATTATAATTCAGTAGTTATCACAGAGTTCTGTGGCGTCACACTTCCATGCTTTCTCATTTCCACTGCTTTTCCCAGGTCCAGTCCCGTTCAATCAATACAGCTTCCCTTTTGTTTGTATGTTTTGATATTCATTAATGTTATGCTTATTCTCCCCTTTTTCTTTGTGCCACAGAATTTTGCATTGATAGCACATAACATAGCAGTGGTTTTCAGAGAGAGCTGGAGGCTTCATCAGCTGGGATGCAGGGAAAAGTTAGGACTTTAAACCACAAGGAAAAATTTGAGCTTGACTGTTGACAAAGAGCTGATTTTGGAAGGAACACTTGTGACAGTGCTGGGTGCTGCTGTATTCCTCATTTCTTACCTTAATAAATCTTGATGGCAATTACTTGCCTGTGCCCCAGTATCTGTCACTATATTCAGTAGTGATGGCTCAGTCCAGTCAGTTGGTTTCTATGCTACAGTGGTCAGTAGTGACATAGCCAATGTTGTTGGCATTTAGAATTTTGTTGTTAGGTTTATGGGTTAATGTTCCTTTGAGATGGATGTCACAGTTGACCCCTTATATGAGCCTATTGTTTCAATCTGTTGTCCAGCCTCTGAGACTCGCTGTCTTGTTTGTATTCAGTTCAGATTTCAAAAGTTATCCTTGTAAACATGATGGTCTGAGCATAGGAGCATTGCACTGGAAAGGATGTCCCAGCAACCTGGTTTGCAGGCAACTGTTCATCCAAAATGGTCCACAAAACGATGACTGTACTCTCCCTCACGCACCACAGCCGCAAAGCGGTCTATAAAACTCCTTAACAGTGGACCACAAGTAAAGAGCAGGGGAGGCAAGGACGTTGTCAGTGCCTTGGCCACTGTAATGGCAGGGAATTTTTCAAGTTAAAATATACTTAGATGATCACAGGAAAAGGACCCTAAGTCCATGCTTTAGAAGAAGGCAAAAAAATCTAAATGGCATTGCCAGTCTAACTTAAGGCAAAATTTCCTTCCTGACCCCAAATCTAGCAGTAGCTTAATTCTGACAATACATTTATGCATCAAAGTTTACATCCTGGAATAAAATTATGCAGCAAATGCAATGACACTGGGCACTTAATGCAGTTATAGTATTCACTCCTTGTGCTGCAAGAAATTTGCATTTAAAGTCAAGATGCAAGTGTGTAAAAAAGGAGGAAAGAATGGAGGAGGGAGGGTAAGACTAACAGTAATAAGACTGTGCTGTTAAAAAAGCTTTCGGGTTGCAGTTAATTCAAAAGGGAATGCTTTATTGATTTCTCCCTCATCCCCCACAATCTAAGTATATTTCTGTGTTCGTGTTACAGTCCATAGATTTGATGGATTTTGCCACAGGAGTTAAGGAAAGAAAACTGTAGGCCAAATGAGCTTTGACATTTTAAACTAGGATCATTTTGGAGTTTCAAGGCAAATAGACTGCAGACTGTTAGAAAGTTAAAATGTATTTATTTGTTTATAGCCGTATCGAGCACTTAAAATCCCAGAATGATCTGTTGACAATCACTCTGGAGGAGTGCAAGAGCAATGCTGAGAGGATGAGCATGCTGGTTGGAAAATATGAATCGAACACCACAGCACTCCGCCTGGCATTGCAATACAGGTATGTCTCTACACAGACAGGGAAATTCAGCATGAACAAGGCAGGGCACAGGAACTGCTGAAGAACTTCAGATGATAGAAGTGGTTTTCCACAGTGACAAACCTGCCTCTGTTTCTTTCTGTCCAGAATGCTGGTCATTTAAACATCACTGCCTAACTGAAATTATCATCTATAATGCAGTTCAGGCACCAGAAATTAACTTAATAATCCTCACTAGCTTTTTTTTTTTTGTCAATACATAGTGAAAGTTGAAATTAGGGAGGAGGGGTTGTTTATTCCCCCCCCACATGCATATTAAATCAACATTATACATTTTACTGAAGAAGGGTGATACCAAATTAAAGATAAACGTGATAGTTGCAAGCAACTCATGAGGATAATGTGATAGATAGAGGAGAGCATATTCTTTTAGGTATTTCCCTTTGCTAACAGAAATGCACTAGTGTTAGAGATCTGTTAAGTGTTAAATCCCATCTCCTCATACAGAGAGCCATTATTATTGGTGCCTTTACTGAACTGGCCCTCTGAACAAGAAGAACTCCCTATTCTCATCCTAGTCATCAGAGGTTTAATGTCTGAAGAACGCATCTGGGGCAATCCTCCCTCACCCTTCCCCTCCCTGCGTCTGTCTTCAGCACGAGATGGTGTCCAGGAACATGGCATACAAGGTGTTCTGGGAATTTTAATTCTCTAGGGTGGCAGTAGGAGCCCACACTGCTGGGAGGAAGGGAGTTGCCCCATTTCTTGCCACCAGTGCCCATGTCGAGAAGGCAAAAAATGCTGATTTAGGCAGGAAGAAATGTAGTCAATTTTCCCCCAAGCAGCAGCAGCAGCAAACTCCATTGCTGCTCTACAAAACTGTGATTCCCAGAAGACTTTGCACTCCTTGACCCACGTTGCCTGTGCCACCTATTTCCTGTAGCCCTCTATGATGGCAGTGTAGGATGGCAGAATGGGGTGCCGCCACCTTATCCTTCTGGCACCCCTCTCCATAGGGAGTGCCCAGGGCATGCTCTCTGCTGGCCCACCTCGTATTACGCTTCTGCTAGCCATTATCTCTTTAGATGAAAGTTAAGGAATATTTGATGGTCACTGAAAAATCTTGCACTGTGGTTAATTGTGGTATACCTGGTCTTTGGATAAATTAGAGACATTGATTTATCCTTCAGTAAATCTGTCAACTTTTGTAAGTTCAGTGGGCCAAGCAGAAAATTGAGTCACCAACAACTTCCACAGACCATGATTTCAGCTGACATCATAAGGTTGCCAGCAATTTGGGGCCAAATTCTGAATTGGTTTTAAAACACTTGTGAAAATCGTGTCACTTGGGCATTCACAGAAGTTTTCAGTAGTTTTCTCATTGGCTTTGGAGGAGGGGTGCAGGAGCAAAGCATTTTCCTAAGATTTTGGGATTTGGGGTTTTTGTTTTGGCGGGGTTTTTGGTACAGTAAGAATTCTTGAAAATCAGTTTCACAAAGAAATATCCACAAGTCATGTTACTGTCCTGTGCCATCCACACTTCTGAAGAGAGCCAGACTTTCCTCACATCTGCTTATTCTGTTTCTCCTGTTTTCTCTTGTTAAACCAGACTGTTAAATGAGCAAGGATCAACTATAGAACACCATCACAGGGATGCTTCTTGAGCATTTTTGATAGAAACTGTATATGTCATGTAGTTTAATGTTCCTACTATCATACAAGTAAAGGGAAATAACATAGTTCATCAGCTACCACTTGTGCACTGCTGATTGATGATATTGATTTTTTCCTGTCTAAATTGCACATATTATGGTTTGTGTTTTGTTTTTTTTCAGTGAGCAGTGCATAGAAGCATATGAGCTGCTACTTGCTTTGGCTGAAAGTGAACAGAGTCTTATTCTTGGACAGTTCCGAGCTGCAGGTGTTGCGTCTGTCGGTAAGAACTCAATGAGTCAACTTATTTAAATTTAATTCATTCTGTACTTCAGTGAATATTCATCAGCTTTGAAAGCTTGTTTGTAGCAGTCAATCATCTCATAACTGTTTGCAATCCACAAGTCAAAGAAGTTTGTTTTTTTCATGTTTTCAAGTGGATAAGTAAAATGTTTGACAAAAAAAGAACTACAAGTGTAAAATAAATCATATATAGGATTACAGAAAATGCATCTTCTGGACTGGCAAAGTTACTTTATTGGACAGCAATCTATACAGAGTACAGTGATTTTAAACTGAAACATCCAAGCATGCATTTCACATCCTGGTAAGGGTCACAACATTTGTGCTTGCAATTATTGCAGGTGCATATGTAGCCACGAAAATTATGGGCACATATTAGTGCAGTCTTTACGTCCAAGCCTTCTTTTTTTTTGTAATTTCTTAACATTTTCATTCTAATGGTTTGCTGCATTGTTTGAAGTTTCAGCCTTGAGCAACTTGCTCCGGTGTGGTCTCAGGGCTGGGACTGACAATCAGCTGATCGTTGTTCCCAGCACCTAGACTGCACAAGTCTGGAACCAAGCTGGGGCTTGGGCCAACAATCAGCTGATTGCTCCAGTCTTGCAATAGCACAGGAGTCTTGAAGCAGCCCCAGTGTAACCCTAGGGCCAATTGTCAGTCCCAGCCCCAAAACCACTCAGGTTTGGGCAGGCTGCAGGCACTCAGCTTTCAACTTGCCAGTGCAGAGGGAAACCAAGATTCTGGGATCCCCCTGCACTGGGAAGAAGTAATGGCACCATTGGGATCCTATCTCTGGTTGCATGGCAGAAGGCATAGTAGTTTGGATCAGATCAGATTACACTAAATGAACATAAACCAGGAGCTTCAGTGGCACACACTGACTCTCATTAACACTGGTATAGAAACCTGCTTTTGAAGATGATGCTCTCTTAACCACAAAGCAAGGCACTTTAGGGGCATTTTTTCAGCCAGGTACATGGGGAATTCCGTACACACTTGTTCCTTTTGTTGTCAGAAGATGTGTGTTTGCCCAGTCAAAATGTTTGTTTTAAAGAGGCTCATTCCTCTTCCTATTGCGGGAAGGTGGTAGTAGTAATCTTGGGCTGGAAAGTGGAGAGATCTTAAGAAAGAGAAAAATAGTTTTCCATGCTGTGCTGAGATGTAAAAACTGCCCGTTTTAGACTATAATTTATAGCACCACTGAAATGTAAACTGAAAGCTTTTAAGACCAGATGACCAGCTGCCTTCAGAGCCATGAGACAGATGAGTTCAACCTCTTGTTTCAACAGCTTAGATGCAATGATCCACAGTAACTGTGCTGTTTCTAAACAGTTTATTTTGTCTCTCTCCTAGAGATTTACACAAGTGTTTGTGTAGGTTTGTTCCTCCTTGTAATGTATGCCATGCAGGAAAGGTCATAGCAGATGCTTTCTTGTCCCATTTTTACTCTGGATTTCAGCCCTTCCTTTCTGCAGCACAGTATTGAACTTGTACTGCAGATATTTTATGAAGGAACATTTAGGAATAAGGGTGCATTAAGCCTTAGATTTTACTATTTACATGAATAGCCAAGAAAGTAAATCTGGAAAAGGAGGTTCCTTGGATATTAGTTTTCTGCCCTGATCCAACTTGAAAGGGTTTAACCTACATTTATATAGGTGTCGGTCATCAGTTTCTTTTAATGTTAGCATTGCGAGTCACAGCCCTGTAGTGAATACTGTGCCAGGATTTTCATCATAAATCGTGTTTGTTCAGTGGCTTATGCCTGACTATAAAATTTAATTTGCTCTGAAATTTGGTCTGAAAAAACTTTGCCTTGCAACAGGTTTTGTTATATATCAGTTTAAAGTAAAAAATCAGTTTAGTTATATTGAAAATTATACAAGAAATGTCTACCAAGAGCCAACTCATTTTATCAAGGAAAAATCTTTTCAAAATTCAAACACATCCCAAATTATGAATCTGTTCTTACTTGTTAATCCTTCATTTATCACTATAAAAAGTACTTAATAATTAAACAGCAAGGATTTGTTAGTTAAAATAACTAATTTGGTATCCAGACCAAATATCTTTACTTAGTACTTAGATAAACTTTAATTGGCCTTAAGGAGAAACTTGTCTTAGCACTAACCAAATGAATTCTGGGATAAGAACATCTGGATTTAAACCACAAATAAAAAATGCATACTAAGTTCCTGAAATCATGTTTACTCAGATATGGATTTTCTTTGCTGGTATCTGAGCAAATAACTTTTACAGTCTAGTATCAATCCCCAGAAAAAAACCAAAAAGGAGTTGAAAGGGTTAGGTTAACAGTATAGTGTTGCTGTAGTTATTGTCATTGTTGTTTAATGTATATATACCATATTTACTTGCATATCACGTGCAACTTTTCCCCAAAAATTAGCCTTCCAAAATTTGGGTGCATGTTTTAAGCAAGGAAGCTGAATGCAAGCATGATGAATGATTGCTGGGGGCTGGTGCCCTCTGGCCACATGGTGGGAGACAGTCTGCTGCTCAGCCAAAAGGTAGAGGTTTAACCCCATCAGAGCTGTTGCCAAATCAGTTGGCACTAGCTTTTGGTGAGCAGAAGAGTGAGGGGTGAGTGACACTTTTAAGTAGACTCTACCCCAGCAGCCAGAATTCAGCCATGATTCTGGAAAAATCTTTCTTTCACCATTCTCCCTTCTCAGAACGAAGTGTGTATATTATTTGAGGGTGAGTAGCACGTGGGAAAATACAGGCATCATGTTGAAGTTTGGATAGGCATATATACAACCCAGGTTATTTAGTGGGAAACCTTTATGTTGTTCCTCCTGTACCTTACGTGATCAATCGATTAGATAAAGAAAGTTGTGCTAATCACCACTTTGAATGTCCTGGTATCTGCACTTCTCCGTTATTTAATCTTTAGCACTTTTAGCACCAAGAGATCCTACCTGAGATTGGAGTCCGATTGTGAAGGCACTGTACGAATGCATAACATGAAAAAGGTCCCTTCTCTTGGAGGACTTGCAACCTAAATAGATGTAGAGAGAGGGAGGAAATAAAGGCAGAGACACATCAAGTGGCTTGTCTGAAGTCACACAGTAGGCCAGTGGCCAGGTTAGGGATGGAACTTGGGTCTCCTGTCTCCCAATCCTGTGCCCATCTCTGCCTGTTGCACTGTCACTAACCCCCATTGAGGCTTCACATCAGTACCTGTATATGTAATGGTCACTGCTTCTGTCAAGGAGAGGAGCCTGACTGGTTAATCCTAAAAAAATAATCTTGCTTTCAAATTTTCATGCAGTTTTTAAGGGCAACTGGTCTGAAGAGCTAACATCAAAATAAGAGTATTTGATTTATTTAGCAAGCGTAGAATATGGATATAGAATCCTTGGCTCAGACGAGGATTATATGACAATCTTGCATAGAGCAAACTGCCCCCTGTTTGCTCTGTCTGGCAGCATTGTGCTACACTGACTTGTAGCATGGAATTAAGAATGCCTGTCAGAGCAATGCTCTGTCTTCGCTGCAGCAGTCGGCCTGACTAGTACCCTGGAGTTAGTCCGTGCAAGATAGCCCTGCTCCAGCGAAAAAGTGCACAAGTGACCATACAGCAAAACAACGCTGGCGCTACACAGGGTGATTGGATTGGCAGCAGATGACTTGTGTGCTGCTAGTCTGAGCATCAGCAGCACTGTATCTTTAGCTAGCTACCACTTCACCCTCCCCAAAGGCCTAGTAGCCCAAACTTAAAGCAGTGCTTACCTCAACATTGACTGTTCTGTATGGAAATAAGAGGTGGATTGGGGGGGAAAGTAAATTTACAACTTATGCTGACACAGCAGTGAAGATAGCTCTCTGTATATCACATTGTTAATTCATTACTAATGCCTCAGTTTGAAGTGAAAATACCTCCTAGAATCCTAAGTCTTGCATTAATTTTTCTGAGCTTCTTTAAAGGTCTGACACTAATTATTTGCTTGCAAACTAGGGGACCAAACAGGTGATGAAAACATTACCCAAATGCTCAAGAGAGCGCACGACTGCAGGAAGACAGCTGAGAATGCAGCAAAAGCCCTGCTGATGAAATTAGATGGGAGCTGTGGGGGAGCCTATGCAATCACAGGCTGTAGCGTACAGCCATGGGAGAGCCTGTCATCCAACAGCCACACCAGGTACCAGTGAATCATTCAACCTCCCCCCCCCCAATCCCCACCGATCCTCAAACCTTTGGCTTCAGACCTAAGTAGATTATGTTGTATTTCATTTATTTAACTATCTATCCTCACTCCAGTCTCTTGGGTTCTTTTGGTTTTGGTCTTTTGAATCATCACGCTTCAGTGACCTAATTCTTCTCAGACTTGGAACAAACTCCATCCAAGAAAGGTTTTGTACAGATTTGTTGCAAGTGGGTGATTCTGATCTTTGATCTCTCTCATAAAGGACAAAACCATAACGTTTTATTTTACTTCAGTAATTCTGTTTTCTTTCTTTCTTGCTCTCCTCTCCTCCCCATTTCATTGAATTGTGAAGCATGTATTTCTTATTCACCTCTGTTGTATGAGGGCAGCACAGTTTTCTAAAGAACTGGAAACCATAAATGCACACCCACAAAGGTTGTCATAAGGTTTTGGAGTATGCAAGAATTGTTGCTTTTTAAATGTCACAAATAAAACGTTATAATTTCCGAGAGAAACAAGTTAAGAAACAGAAAATTATACTTCAGCAGTTATAACAATTTTCCATTCCTTTCCCTTAGTGCAATTGAAACTGTAGTCAAATATCAACTGGCTCAATACACTTTATTGAGATTAGAGTGAATTTTTCCAGAAGAAAAGATCAGGATATTGGAATATTTCTTAGAGCCATAAAGTAATGAAATGTAAACAAGTTATTATTGTAAAAATGTTCCAGTTCAAATAGGTCTGGAAGCCAGATCTGCTTAAGCACTTGCCTATATACAGTGCATTTTTACTGTGTGTATAGGTAGTGACTGAAGTTGAATGTTATGCAGAAGGGAATTATCCAGCAGATTTAAAAAGTGGCTGAATTCAGGATAGGATAGGATCTCTGGCAGAAGAAATTTCTTTTTTAGTGGAGATCATAGTGTCAAGCTACAGGACAACTCTTTTTCGCTTCAGTTGACATTTTCTGGCCTCTGTATTTTGTAACATGCTTTTTAAAATATCATCTGGTTCTAACTGTTCAGAAGCTTTACTTATGCCCTGCTGAAACTCTTGTATCTCATGGTTGTATCTTTCATGGTCTCATATGACCCTTTTGTTGAATCTCATAAAACTCTAGTTGTGTCTCATATGCCCCTCTTTTAGACTTGTAAATGCTTTGCAGGACAGATCTGTTTCATGATAATGGCCTGATACAGTTCTATGGTGAACCCATCACAACACAACCTTATGTTGTTGAGCTGACCCACAGCAAGTTTTGTGGCTGCTGATCTTAATTAGAAGAGGCAGAATAGTTTCCTTGTGATCTAGATGGTTGGCAGAGCTCTTGCAATCACGTTGGCAGCCATTTTGGAGCAATGTGAGCGAACATTTTTCTTGACTTTTTTTCTTGACTGTTTTTATTGTGCTTATTCAGTCTCCTTTAAGCAAGTTCCTTATTTTTCTCACTTTCTGAAATTGAGTGAAATCTTGGCTCTGCATTTTTTCCTTATTCTTACTTTCATTTACTACATTTTGCTTGACTCATCTAAAATCAAAGCAGCAAAAGATGAAGGAAATGCAGCTCAAATTCTATTCCAAACATGAGAAAAGTTTTAACGTTTCACACTGAAAGGTGATTTTGCTTTCAAACTATGCTTCAGTGCCTGCCAGTCTGTGCAGAGGAGGATGTGGTTTAGTTTACATATTCATTTGCAGTGGAAGTAAAGTGTTGTTATATCTGTAATGCTTCAGGAAATATATAAGAGACAAAGGGTTTTTCTGATATCTTTTATTGGACAAATTGTACAGTTTGGGGCTCAGATTGGGAAGGGCAGTTTGTACATGAAAGCTTGTTTAATCTCTCACTCATCGATGCAGTTGTTCCAATAAAAGGCATCACAAAAAAGCCGTTGCTTCTCGTATATTAATCTAAGAATCTCTAGCAAATCAGTAGCTTTAGATGCCAAAAATATTGACCGGCTGAGAAATGTAATTATACAAGAATGTTTCAGTCTACTTGACCCCATCTAGGGACCCCATCTCTCATACTGAGAGTGGACATACAACGGATGTATACATGCACTTCTGTATGTCTGTTTGCCTGTATATGTTGTTAGAAGTGGCAACACATAGGCTGAACGTCCTTGATTATTTTCATAGACATTAGGGCTGGAAGGGACCTCGGAAGATCATCGAGTCCAGCCCCCTGCCCAAAGGGTAGGAAGTCAGCTGGGGTCATAGGATCCCAGCAAGATAAGCATCCAATTTGCTCTTGAAGGTGTTCAATGTAGGTGCTTGAACAACCTCCGATGGCAGGCTGGTCCAGACCTTGGGGGCTCAGACAGTAAAGAAATTCTTCCTTATGTCCAGCCTGAAACGATCTTGTAGTAGCTTATGACCATTCAACCTCATCATCCCTTGGGGCGCTCTGGTGAACAAACGTTCCCCCAGATCCTGGTGAACACCCCTGATAAACTTATAGGTGGCCATCAGGTCACTCCTGAGCCTGCGCTTTTCCAGGCTGAAGAGCCCCATGGCTCTCAGCCTGTCGTCGTAAGGTCTGTTTTCCTGACCTCTGATCATGCGCGTGGCTCTTCTCTGGACTCTCTCAAGCTTCTCCACATCCTTTTTGAATTGTGGAGCCCAAAACTGGATGCAGTACTCCAGCTGCGGCCTCACCAAGGCCGAGTACAAGGGGAGAATGACGTCCTGGGATTTGCTTGAGAAGCATCTATGGCTGCAAGCCAGTGTTTTGGTTGCTTTAGTAGCCGCAGCATCACA